AACATGTACAGAGCTGCAGCCAATATCACCAGTCAAACAGCTATCCATAAACCCCTCCCCACACGGTGTAAACTCTACAGCCACCCCCTCCCCACACGGTATAAACTCTACAGCTGCCCCTCCCCACACGGGATAAACCCTACAGCTGCCCCTCCCCACACGGCATAAACCCTACAGCTGCCCCTCCCCACACTGTATAAACTCTACAGCTGCCACTCCCCACACGCTATAAACCCTACAGCTGCCCCCCCCCACACGGTATAAACTCTACAGCGCCCCCCTCCCCACACGTTGTAAACTCTACAGCGCCCACCTCCCCACACGGTGTAAACTCTGCAGCCACCCCCTCCCAAAACGGTATAAACTCTACAGCGCCCCCCTCCCCACACGGTGGAAACTCTACAGCCACCCCCTCCCCACCCGGTGTACACTCAACCGCGCCCCCCTCCCCACACGGCGTAAACTCTACAGCCACCCCCTCCCAAAACGGTATAAACTCTACAGCTGCCCCTCCCCACACGGGATAAACCCTACAGCTGCCCCCCCCCACACGGTAAAACCCCTACAGCTGCCCCTCCCCACACGGGATAAACCCTACAGCTGCCCCTCCCCACACGGTATAAACCCTACAGTGTATATCTACCTACACCAAAGCCAGAAGAATTATTTCTTGAGCAACAATGACAAGAATTCCTCTTAAAGAGGCGTTTTGTATCTCCTTGGTTAATCATCGAGTCCAGCTTTACAAAGTAGGTAGATATATCGGGACCACAGGGAATATTGTGATCTACATTGACATTTTCCGTCACAAACACTCTTCAGACACTCGACAAAGAATCGCCAGACAAAACATTACGAAATTACAATCAATTTGGCATTCAAATCGGACAATATAGCACAGTTAATTATTGATGGTTGGTTATTTACAATTCAAGTGGGCTGCTTTCCCCCCTCAAACATACTCTACAGTATGGAAATATGATGTCAAGATGTCTGCTGACCGACATTAGAGCCCAATAGAACAGCAGTCCTTATTTATACTGACCAATCGACAGAAATCCCAGATAGAATAAAAAGCAGAATGTGAAGTACATTGACCGATGCACGCTCTACACCAGATCAAACAGAATCCATAAAGACTCCAATCAATTAACTGGGGGGTGGGGGCATGTTTTTGTATTCCGGTATTTATTGTACAAAATATGTTGTCATGACGATAGAAGATGGGAATTTCTCCAACATTCTCTCCGACCATGGAGGCCGATTTGTTAGAATGGACAGAACTATTAGGTAAACAGACTTCTGGTATTTACAGGTCATGACCAGGTCTTGCAGCAATGATTAATTTTGTCCAGTTCGTATTGAACAGTTAAATTCACAAGATAAAGTAGACAATTGCTTTCCCTGCCCCAGACATTCCTAAATCCATGTAATGTTGGCAGCATGTCCAAAATAACAGTTTCCTTATGTCTGGTAAGATTTCTTCTTGATGAAAAAAAATATTCCCTTTGAGCGGCAGATGGCTGTATAATCAATGTTGCATACAAAATGTAAGATTCCATTCAAGTCGTGCTAAGGAGAATAGGGATTCCGAAGCTTAGGAACGCTGACCAATGTTTACGCATGATTTGACAGTTCAAATGAGCCCAATCAACAGTTAAAGTCTATCCAATGTCAGTATCGGCTCTTGTCTTTATGGCCACACTCCTTCACCGCTTGACACGTTCCGAAGTGTCCACCGATTAATATTTTTTAATTTTCATTGCAGACACATATCAAATCATAGGCTAGATTTTTTTTTACGCTTGATGCCAAAATATTCCAAAATGTGGAATCAAGTCAACGGTTTTCACTTCGGGGAATTGTCACACAGTCTGTATGATGAGGGTAGGGAGGATCGCTTCAAAGATTGGTGACAAATGGATTCATGCATGTAGAAAAAACATGGGGACTTCAATTACTTGATGGATTTCATTAGAGTAGAGGGGCTGTCGTCAACTGTCCAGCCCCTGGTTCCCAATATGGAAAGGTCAATTGGTGCCGTCGGTCACACTGGTCAGACAAAAGACATCAGACAATGGCATGTGGGAACCGTCACGGAGTTAAATGTCAATTCTCAGACCATCCAATTTGTTAGAAACAATTCACGAAGGGACATATCTGCTTTAGAGAGCAGTAAATTTGGTAGAACAAACTTTACCATTCAACAGTAACGTCTTAATGGAAGAATACAAAATGTCAGATGGGTGCTATTACAGGTAGCAACAGTTATTCTAGTGCTATTTACCAATATTTGCTGAAACTGGAAATATTATTCATGTGTCAGTTCTATTGAATTTAATCTGCTACATGATTTTATCATGGATTTTGTTATAACTGAAGTGTTCAGAGTAGCCCCTGTTACAGGAATACAATTTGCTTTTTGTAAATGAAGATCATTGGATTTTCACACAGTTTCCCTTCTACTATATTATATAATCAGATGAAATTTGTACATGTCCTATCCTCCGACTCTGTTTCCTAAAATTGCTTCCCCTAATTGATAAGGAACCCTGTGACACGCGAACTGGCTCAATGGCCAAACGACAACTGTTACTTTGGTCTGGAAAACGAATTAGCGTAAGACATGAGGGAACTGGATGTGACGATGAAACGTCTTACACAATACCGTCACACGATGACGTTCTGGCCCAGACAAACAGGGACAACCAACGATGTCAGATCTGGTATAAAAACACCTTAACTCGCCACATGGGGTACAGACGAAAGATTTTTATATCTGATTGTCGCAAAAAAGCCTTTTTTAAAATTACATCAACAACTGTTTTCATGACTCCCATGTCAGTTGTCGAATACATTATTGTATATGGTGTTTGTTTCTGTGGAAGGCCATTTGGGGGTGGGGGGGGGAAATGGGGTTAAAGAAAGCACTTTTACGCGGCATGTCTCTACAAATGAGTCAAAAGGCTTAGTAGCTGTCATTGTAAGGCTAACAGCTGTCCTCGAGGACTCCGACACGCAATTCTTTATACGCTTTGTACTAAATTTATTCCCGAGGGAAAGCAGTTGTTGTATATTTTTTTATAATTGTTCATCGGCTGTTTAGTTGTACATAACAGCGAAGTCTAGACACTGAATGAAACGTGTATGAAGAACACTTATTTTAAACAAAACAAAAATGCCAATATATATAATTACAAGACACCATTTGTTTAATTAAGTCTAGAATGTATTGGAGACACTAACAGGAATTACACAAGCCACTGATTTCACAGAAAGAGTTGAGTTCAACAAAACCTAAATTTGTCCTATTTCTGTCATATCTTACATCAATACGTATATTGCTTCCAAGAGTAATTTTGTAGTTCCTTAATATGTTACGAACAAAAAAATCACGATAATATTTTATAGATATGTGGTTGAAATCAAGGATATTTTCACCAACATATATTCAAGAAATCCAGATTTTCTGGCACGTCTCCAACTAAAACTTGTGATAATTACGGAATTTGAACAGTAACAACATGTCAATATAACAAGATTGGTGTGTTTTTCAAACTGAAAGCCTCCCTTCCTCCATTAGAGCTTGCCATTGTGTGTTTTTGTTCGGTAAATGCAGGACGTCTTCCGTGTTTTTAATCCCCATTGTCAACGCGACCTTGAAGAAACACTTCATTACGTTAACTCAGCCTACTAACTAGGGACTCCTCCAAACTTTTACGCAATTATTCTACAGTTGATTGACGTACCGTTATACAGTTCCTTTCAGGCAGCAAACAATAAATTTTCAGTTAAAAGCGTGCTTTTGTTACCAAGCTATAAGCATATCATCCACGTCATTACGTCTCAACTGCCTCCAATTTCATAACTGTCAACCACATGATTAATAGAAACCGTTTCCATATTTACATCCCCTGAATGTATATACAGCAGAAAATGTAGACTGGACATCTACACTGGACAGTCATGTCATATACAGAGGAGGGTTTCATACAAAGGAAATCTTAGATTATGAGACGATTTGATAGAAATGTATTAAAAAAATATTTGGTTTTGCGTTTTGTGATGCGATTTTACAGCTGAATCATCTGTTTTCTCGTCCATACATCAAATATTACAACTGTGATGTGAGGAATTCGTCCAATCTAGATTTAATTTGACATTTGACATGACATACCGTGAAAATGTTGGTAACCCCCCCCCCCGTCGTATGATCTTGCTGGTGATTAAGTGTTTAAGATGGACTGTACGTCAGTATCAGATGATAAGGTAAGTGAGTAAGTAATATGTGATAACATCGGCACCATTTCTCCCGCCGCCAATCTCCCTCCCAACTACACTGAGACACACAGATTATGTAATATGGAGGCGGGCAGTTGCATATCTACTTAATATTCTTTAGCTAACGGCATTGTTAAGTAGCGATAACGTCCTATTTGTTATTTTCATTCTAGTTTATGTCTACCCTCTTTACTTGTCAAGCCGAATGTCTTTGCTAGGCTAATGGGATCTCTCCAAATTAATGTTCTTTCCCGTGGTTTTTCTATAATCTAGCCGTAATAAAAAGATATGCAATGACATTTATCATGTAAAGTCTGTTGGTATGAAGGTTGTATTGCATATAGGTTTAAGGCTGTAGATATGTAGGTTTAAGACTATAGGTATATAGGTTTTAGGCTGTAGGTATGTAGACGAAAGACTGTAGATCTAGGTTTAAGGCTGTAGGTATGCAGGGTTAGATATATAGAGCTAAGACTTGAATATGAAAAGTCATGTGTCCATTTGCTTGTCGCTGCAGATCAACAATCTATACACTTCAAATCTTTCCATTTTCATTTTGCAGCATCAGAACTAAAATGTGTATACCAACAAGCGAAAACCTTATAAACTTAAAATGTCCATTGTCTATTAGAGGTCCAAACCATTAAATTTGTTTTTACATTTTTTGGATAATGTCCGTTTAATGCAAGGAGACGGACCTATTCTCGTAATATTTTTACCTGCAAGTTCATGATGTAAGTTTGAATGGCTGATGTTTTCCTGGTCGGAATCGTCCGACATTGACAACTGTGACACAGCTTCTGTTCTCGGCATGTGCTTGCTGTCCATCTCATTGGACGAGATTGAGCACTGAGACCCCTGGTGGTGGACGTTTAACGATGCATGATGCAACGCCCGGTCCATGTCGTCAATATCGCCGTCCGAGCCACTCATGTAACTATACAAGCGTGACTTGTCGTTACCAAGGTGACCGTTACTGAGGTGGGAGTTGCCATGGTAATCGTCTGTTAAGTCATGCTCATTGGGAGTCAAACCTATAGGTACAAAAAACAAAGCAAACAAAATATACAAACAAAAATCAAAGCTACGATAACGACCAAGCTGTGAGACAGGTTTACAAATCGATGTCCTTGATTTCAACAAACAGAAATTTTGAAGAATAATTAAAAAAGAATGTTTACAGTCAAAGATATTATCACAAAATGGTTTGGGGCCATGATTTATTTTACCAGTGAACAAATTTGGAGGAAGAAGTTAAATCAAAGACTCTCTTATAGGGATTATTTGTGAAATTTGGATTTTATTAAATTTTCCTTGAATTTGACCAATTTATTTTTCAATAATATTAAAAGATGTTTAATAGAATCCTATTCAGTTATTGAAATACAAGGACATCTCTTTGGTTATATTACAATATACAGTGATACACAACACTCAGTGTCTTCTGCCTTGTTTGATCAATAGAGAAAATCCTGTCACATCAACAGTCATGACAGAGTTGTCCTTCTTGTATGCCTCTTATCTCTTAAATCTTTTCAGTGTTTGAATACAGATTGACATTCAATTTCCACTTTAAAAAGTTAAAGATTTTCAAAATGAAAGAAAACACTCTTTTTAATTTTGTGTCTGCCAAAACAATATGCAAAATTTTCAAAAATGTCATTTTTTTTTTATGAAATATTTTGGTGATTGATAATCAGAAATTCACTGAGTATTGCTTTTTGTGTTACTGGGAAAACACATAAGCCATTTCATTTTCATTTTATACACAAATAGTCTGAACCTATAACATGGTTCTATTTTGCACACATTTTAGTATAATCATATATTAATACTAAATGAGATCTTTTTTTCTATTTTTTTTTTACCATTTCTAGTAATAAACCACAAAAAAAATATGATTTTGACTATTATCCAAATATTTTTACTTAACTATTTTTGTGTTCTGTTGAATGGACATTATGATATACTGGGGAGAACACAGGTGTGTGCTGCTAGTATATACTGTGTTATGATGGTGGTACATGATAAAGGCGAGTGTGGTTTTTTGTAACATATAGTGCATTACACAACATATGGAAGAGTATATACATAGAGTGAGTCACAAGTTTGGCGGCGTTAAGTCAGGGAGTCACAGGTTTTGTGATTCCAACTCTGTAAGTCACAAAAGTAGTGAGCCACAGGTTTGGTGGCCCCAAAGCAGCGAGTCACAGGTTTGGTGGCCCCAAAGCAGCGAGTCACAGGTTTGGTGGCCCCAAAGCAGTAAGTCAGAGGTTCGGTAGCCCCAAAGCAGTGACTCTCAAGTTTAGTTTGGTGAAATCTATGTAGTGATCAGACACAAATGTAAAGACCCCCAAAGAATTGTTTAAAAAAAGTCACAGGTTCTGTAGCCTAAAAACAGTCAGTCATTAGCTTGGTAGTCAACCTAACACCTCTTGGGTTTGGTGGCCCCCAAGCAGGAAGTCACAGATTTGGTTGCCTTAAAACAGCAAGTCACAGGTTTTGTGATTCCTATGAGGTGACCCTTAACCCTTTCACCACTATAGACCAAAATGAACTCATCCAGATAAATGGATGGAAGAGTCTACTAAAGTTACTTAGGGGTGAAAGAATTCAATAGTGGAGCAAAGGCTAGGTAGCTTCTAAACATATAGTCCTGCTTATAAATGTTACGTTTCCGAAATTGGAAAAATATTGAATTTTTATGATTTTAATAGAAGTTTGCCCATCTGGTGTTCCATTTGAGGATGACGAAACTAATGGTATATCTTGATGTTGATGTTGATGTTGATGAAAATGTATGATGAACATTAATAACATGTGATTCTGAAATATCAAAATGGCATGAAGATGTCAATGACTTGATGACAGAAGAAAAGATGAAAACTGACAACGGAGGGGATTAGGAAGACATACATTTCTATTTTGGAGAGGAAGAGAGCAGAGGGGTGTTTTGGCTAAGGGAGATAAGCAAGGATAAAGATGTTGACAATATCTAAACAACACAGAAACACACATCACAAACCACAGACAGCTTCAGCATATAAATACGATACACATGCAACGCACAGCCAGAAAACATAAATAAACCTTAAGGTTTTTATTTTACCTACAAATTCAATACATTTAAATCAACAATATCAACAAACCAAAATTTTGTGTTCTAATGCCAACAAATTCAATATGGCTTATTTTCAAACCATCGGCAGAAATAAACAAAAACATTTGTGATCTTATTGAAAACTCAAAAACAGTGAATCTTCAAACAAAATTGTGTTCTTGAAGGAAAATTCAATGCTGTTGATTTTTGAATAACCAGCAGAAAATAAAAATCAATTGTGTCCTAACTGACGTACTCTTCATTTTGTAATTTTATACAGGAAATGGGGTTTAGTTGCTGATTTTCCTACAAATCATATCAAAACCTCAAATCACACGTTAACTTCAAATTAAAATCACTGAATGATGTCAACGCAGATCCTCATTCGCAACATGCACAGAATGAAGAAAATGTTCTCGATCGATGAATACAACATTCGCAAACTTTTAACTAACTAAACAGGAAGTTGTTGCAATATTCCATGCTTAAATTTAAAATTAGCAAGAAACAAAAACATGAAATTCAAATGGACTGCTAATGAGTTAATTCTAAAGACATTAGACATCTTATGGGTTTCTAATGCCATGATATCAATGCAGATGAAATGCTGTGGTGATCGCTGAAGTAAATGATGATTCTATGTTAAACAGGGACGCTAAAACGATTTCTAATTACGCATGCTGGAGAGGAAGAAAGGGGAGATCACCCTGGCACCCATCAGTCCAATTGTACATATGTTCTCAAATGGCCGGTTGTCTTTAATGAACATTAATTGGAAAATGAATCAAGTGCATTTTATTTGATTTTATGAGTGTTGAGGTCACTATTTTCATGCTTTTATTTTTGCAACAATATATTTCCACGAGCATTAAACTTTTAAGATAATTGTCCGCCAGCATTGTCCTGTGAAGAAGGAAATGAAACAATCATGGATATCAATTACAATCACATGATTAGGTGTGTGTGTTGGGTGGGGGAGGGGAGGAGGAGGAGGAGGAGGAGGAGGAGGAGGAGGGAGGAAATTATCCCAAGAATACCAGGTATGCAGGTATTTATTCACCATACCATTAAACAAAATCATTTGTGTTCAAACATTTCAACAATAGTGAAATTCATATATCTACAATTTTATACATAAATATATAAATATTCTAAGTCAAGGAAATATGAAAGCAAATTAAGGATGCTGAGAAGGAATTATTTTGAAAGTAAAGTGATGGTAATTAAAGCTTGGTCAAATGAGTACATTGTGACACCAAGAGATTTGATGCATAACCATGTTTTCCCCCATGAATTTGAAAATAAAATCTATTGAAAAATTTCTGGAGCTTTGTTAGGGAACTATAAAACTGCCATCTTAGAGGAACAAAAACTAATATCTGTTCTGGTAGGAGGAAATGACTATCTAGCGGTGTGCTAGGTCTGTCCTATATATTCTACGTGACTGCTCCGATTCAAATAAATGACCTAACTAATGATCATGTATGCCTTTAATCTCGCTCAATAATGGTTCTACTTTCTCGTCAGCAAACAAGAGTTATGTCCCCTGCCTAAAACAGGAAATGGAAATTCTAAATCACTGGCATAAATGACTTCGTCCAACAAATTATCGGTAGAATTAATGGATTGTTTGCATGAAATCTTCTTCAGCTGACTTAAAGACGTCACTTAACAGCGCATGAAGGAAAACTAGGAAAACGTTTGTGATGAGAAAGGACGGACTTTCTCTATCTCTCTGCGAGAATGAAAATTTGTAGGAATCAACAAAAAGTCAGCCTCGTGGGAGAGCATAGCATGTGCGGACAAATAACACATGTTTGTATTGTTCCCATCAAGAAGGCATGTTTACGTCAGGAAGTTAAGTATTGAAATTGTAAACATATTTCCTCAAAGAAATTATTCACATTGGGGACGACAAGTTATCGGAGGAAAACAATGAAATGCGGATAAACATCTGACCCAAATGAAACGTCTCTATTCAATTAGAAATAAAAAGTAACCTACCTAATGACTGGGGACTATAATTGTTAATTTGGTATTGCGCATACGAGACCCTGGGTAGCCCTACGGTACTGGTTGGCGGGATCCCGCGCGTGCGATAGCAACCTTACCGTCGGTAAACATGTAACGCGACTTGACAATACTGCAGCTGAATCAGCTCGGTTCCTATAAACAATGGTGATAAGGATCCGTAATATTTGAGGCATTTCTGTTTTATTCCCCTCCTTCAGGTCTACAGAGAAGATCCCAAGCCCTTACCATCACACAACCTCACACAACCAGTGGAATTGGTATCCATGACAAACGGTCATAAACCGAGGCCCTATATTTACAGTCAAGCAAACATGGTCCCTTGGAGACCTTTGCACATTTTTGTTCATTATAGCATTATTTCAAAGCTGCTTGTCTTGCCTTTCGCTCAGAAAATGTATGACCAGAAATATGCTGGCTGTAACAATTTGGACTGGCAGCAAATATCATATTCAACAAAAACCTGCTCAACTCGTTCACCACAGAACACATACTTGAACCCTTCCAATTCAAAGGTTGGAATAGTTCATTATGAAAGTTCAGGGGTGAATGAGTTAAGTCCCAAATTAGCCCGCTATCTTTTGGTATAAATCTAATAGTCATTGCCACAGGAGAACTAAAACGAGAAGACAAGCTCTTCTGTTTTCTGATTAACACAACTGCCTGATGTAAGTTCTAGACCATAACCAACTCATTATAACTCAAAATAGACCTACCCATAAAGTTATTACTATTTGTACCATGTATGCACCCATAAACATATCAATAGATCAGCTATTTATGGAAACTGACAGTCTAATATAGACCTAGTGCATACTTTTATGGTACTGAAAACTTGATCACACACATAACTAATCATTACTGTGTATAAACCTTGATGATCCTCATACCAATATCATTATC